CAGTGTCTTTCTCCCATAGTCCCAGTGTCTTTCTCCCATAGTCCCAGCATCCTTCTCCCATAGTCCCAGTGTCTTTCTCCCATAGTCCCAGCATTGTTCTCTCGTAGCCCCAGTGTGCTTCTCCCATAGCCCGTATCCTTTTCTTGTACCTTGCATTATTCTCTCAGAGCCCCAGCATCCTCCCTTAGCCCCACTGTCCTTCTCCTGAAGCCTCAGCATCCTCTTGCAGCCCCACTATCCTTCTTCCATAGCCCCAGCATTCTTCTCCCATAGCCCCAGTGTCCTCCCTTACCTCCAGCACCCTCCTGAAGCCTCAGCATCCTTCTCCCACAGTCCTAGCATCCTTCTCCCATAGTCCCAGCATCCTTTGGTAGCCTATATCCTTCTCCCATAGCCCCAGCATCCCTCCACCTCTTCCTGGCACTGCAGCTCCTTCCTTGCAGAGTCAACTTGGATCATCCCATGAACATCCTCAAATCCTCCAGGAAAGCCTAGAGCAGCACCAGTAGTTTTCAGCCCCCAAATTATCCCATGATGGTTTTGGCAGCATCCAGCCAGGCTGGTCCCTGTGAGGAGGACCAAAGGGGTGCTCCAGGTGGTGAGCAGGGGCTGGGATGAGGAGGGGGTTTGGAATCTGAATCTCGGAATTGGAGTCCAATCGAATTTGGAATCCAAATCCAGAGCTGGGGTGGCTGGAGCGAATCCCCTGAGCCAGGATGGAGCCGTGGTCACTGCCGGGATGCTTGGAAGGGCTGTGGCTGCTCAGGGAGGTTTTTCGGTCCCCAACAGGGGTGGGTTTGAGCACCCATTTCCAAGTTTTCCAGTGGCATTTTAGCGCTGGGAGCATCTTCCAGAGCAGAAAATGATGAAGAGCTGCCAGGCTGTTTAATGAATCCCTTCTCTGATGCTCTGACGGAGAGATGAACCCTTGAGTTTGGTTTGAGGGAATTTGGGGGTTTGGAATCCTTTGGAGCAGCTGGTGGAGGTGCAAACCCCAAAATCTCGGTCTCCCCCTCCTGTGTCTTCAGAGCAAATCGTGGAGAAGGACGAGGGGCCGTATTACACCCACCTGGGCTCGGGGCCCACCGTGGCCTCCATCAGGGAGCTCATGGAAGAGCGGTGAGGACCTTTTCCCATCCCATCCCTGGGGGGCTGAGAGGGCAGGGGGCCATGAGGGGGAGTGGGGGTCTGTGGGGACCTGTCAGGGGGAGTGGGGGCTCCTGAGAGCGAGTGGGGGGCCATGAGGGGTCCCCTGTGGGGGAGTGGGGGCTTGTGAGGGGCAATGGGGACCCATGAGGGGTCCCATTTGGGTGAGAGGGGTCTTATGAAGGTGAGTGGGAACCCCTGGGGTCCTGTCAGGGGGAGTGGGGGCTCCTGAGAGCGAATGGGGGGCCATGAGGGGTCCCATGAGGGTGAGTGGAGTCCTGTGATGGTGAGTGGGGGCTTGGAAGGGGGAATGGGGACCCATGAGGGGGCTCCTGAGGGTGAGTAGGGTCCTGTGAGGCTAAGTAGGATCCTGTGAGGGGGCTTGTGAGGGTGAGTGGGGCTTGTGAGGGCGAGTGGGAACCTATGGGGTCCTATCAGGGTGAGTGGAGGCTTGAGAGAGTGAGGGGTCCCATGAGTGTGAGTGAGGACCCATGAGGGGGCTGAGGGCATGAGTGGGGCCCTGTGAGGGAGAATGGAGACCCAGGAGGGTGAGTGGGGACCCATGAGGGTTGGTGTGGGCTTGTGGGGGTGAATGGAGACCCATGAAGGGGCTCCTGAAGATGAGTGGGGTCTCGTGAGGGTGAATGGGACCCATGAGGGAAAACTGGGGCTTTTGAGGGGTCCTGTGAGGGCAAATGAGGGTCTGTGAGGGACCCCATGAGGGCAAGTGGGGGTGACCAGGGTCCTGCAAGGGCGAGAGGGGTCCTGTGAGTGGGGGCTTCTGAAGGGCTCATGAGGGTGGCTGGGGGGTCTCCTGGGTGTTGGGGTGGACGAGTGGGGCTGATGGCTGTTCCTGGCAGGTACGGTGAGAAGGGCAAAGCCATCCGCATCGAGAAGGTCATCTACACCGGGAAGGAGGGCAAGAGCTCCCGGGGCTGCCCCATCGCCAAGTGGGTGAGTGCCTGTGCCCCGCTCCTGTCCCCCCTTGGAGCCCCCCAGTGCTCCTGCCCCCTTTCCTGGACACAAGGAGGTCCTCCACCGGCGGTGGTTGCAGTGGGTAAGGGTGGGATGGTCAGGTTGTGGCTGGCAAAGAGGAGGCAAGAGCTGTGTCCACCCCCAGGGAAGCTCCGTGGGGATTCCCACCCTCAGCATGTCCATTGCCTACACCCCAAAGCCCATGGGGGTGAACACAACCATGGGACACCCACATCCCCACAGAAAGCAGCCAGGACTCACTTTTGGAGTCCTCCCCATCCCAGGAGGTGGTTGATGGAGTGGTATTTATTGACTTGGCCCCCCCATGTCCCCACAGAAAGAATCCGGGACCTACTGCTGGGTTCCCCCATCCCAGGAGGTGTTTTTGGAGTGGTGTTTGTTGAGTTGGCCCCTTTGTTTTCCAGGTGATTCGCAGACACAACCAGGAGGAGAAGCTGCTGTGCCTGGTGCGGCACCGGGCCGGGCACCACTGCCAGAACGCCGTGATCATCATCCTCATCCTGGCCTGGGAGGGCATCCCCAGGACCCTGGGGGACACCCTGTACCAGGAGCTCACCGACACCCTCACCAAGTACGGCAACCCCACGAGCCGCCGCTGCGGCCTCAACGACGAGTAAGTGCCACTGCTGCCAAATCCCCTGAGATCATTGGGATTTCAGTGTTAGGGAGCAAGGCGGTGCTTTATTCTTGGCCAGGAGGTTTCAGAATCTCAGAATCATTAAGATTGGAAAAGATCATCAAGGTCATCAAGTCCAGCACCACCACTGTGTTCAGCACTAACCAAGTGTCTCTGAGTGCCACATCCACACATTTTCTGAACACTTCCAGGGGTGGTGACTCCACCCCCTCCCTGGGCAGCCCATTCCAATACATGACCACCCTCTCAGTGAAGGGATTCAATCTAAACTTCCCCTGGCACAACTTGAGGCCGTTCCCTCTTGTCCTGTCTCTTGTTCCCTTTGTGTGTGACCAACAAAATCCCGGCCTCCACACCGACACTGATTCAAAACTTCATACCTGTTTATACATTTTTAGCAAACAGTGAAATTAATGTTCATTGGTTCTAAATTACATAATTCTCTTTCATTAATTAGTATTCTCTGTTGATTATTGATTTCTTACTTTTTATGCTAATTAGTCCATATTTTTACTCCTTTTAGTATCTTCAGTATCTTTTTTCCTCTGGCAGGGACTTACCAACACACGTACTGAGCCTTTGTTAGTCTCTTTATCTTCTGCTCTCTGCAGAATATCTTTGTGGTCCTTAAATTCTGCATTCCAGATGTCCAATTTCAACAATCCATGTTTGTGTCCCAGGCTTTGGTTCATTGAAACACATCAGGGTTAATTTATCAAAACTTCAAGTTTCACTGCTTTTCCTAAGCTGTGTTCCCACAAAAGTAACTCACAACAGCTTTGCTAAATGCCAAGAGTGATTTCAGAATAACACACTATTTATAATTAATTTATATGGATTATGATTAATTAAATGGGACAGGACAGGATAGGATGGGGTGGGAATGGGATGTGGGGTCCCTGCTCTTCCCAGAGCTGCTGTCACCAGGCTGATGTTCCTCATGGTGTCCCTCCCTCCCAGCCGGACCTGTGCCTGCCAAGGCAAGGACCCCAACACCTGTGGTGCTTCCTTCTCCTTCGGCTGCTCCTGGAGCATGTACTTCAACGGCTGCAAATACGCCCGGAGCAAAACCCCCCGCAAGTTCAGGCTGGTGGGAGACAATCCCAAAGAGGTGGGTGAGGGGGCTGGAGTGGGACGGCACTGGGGAGGGGGGGTGGGTTTGGACCTCCTTCACCTTCAGCTCCAGGTTTTCCAGCCTGAAAGTAGGATTCCTTGCGAAGCCTGAAAATAGGATTCCCTGTGAATCCTGAAGATAGGGTTCCTTGCAGAATTTTTGATGGATTAGGGAGATGGGGAAAAGAAAGGTGGCACAAATGGGGTCCCTGTAGAAGCTCCAAGGAAGAAGCCAAAGGGCTGATGGGTCGAGTGAGCAAAAGCACGACAGGTGCAGAGGCTGGAGGCTGAACAGCCAGATCTTCATCAGGAATTTAAGCCACGTGCTTTATGCTGGACATGGTGGGAAGGGTTGGGTGCTGTGTGGTGTCTGTAGGCTCTGTCCCTGATTCCATTCCAAAACCCCTGAGTGACATCCTCCTGCTTTCCCTGCCACAGGAAGAGCTGCTGCGGAGAAGCTTTCAGGACTTGGCCACCGAGGTTGCCCCGCTTTACAAGAGGCTGGCGCCACAAGCCTACCAAAACCAGGTACTGCCACCCCCTTGTCCCCCTGGCAACACGAATGGGTTCCAGGTGCTGGTGTTTGGGAGATTTTGGATAACCAGAGCCCTCTCCTCCTTCCACCAGGTCACCAACGAGGATGTAGCGATCGACTGCCGGCTGGGCCTGAAGGAGGGGAGGCCGTTCTCGGGGGTGACAGCGTGTATGGACTTCTGTGCCCACGCTCACAAGGACCAGCACAACCTCTACAACGGCTGCACGGTGGTAAGCAGGCACTGGGGGGGGGGTTTGGGGTGCTCCCACCCCAGTTTGGGATGCTCCTTTCTGAGCCACTGGGTCCCCAGTTGTCCTACCCCAGGGCAGTGGTCACAGCACCAAGCCTGGTGGAGTTTAAGTAGTGTTTGGACAACACTCTCAGGCACATGGTGGGATTTTGGAGGTGTCCTGTGCAGGGCTGAGTTGGACTTGATTATCTTTGTGGGTCCCTTCCAGCTCAGCATATTCTGTCCTCCCTGCCTGGCTCCAGGTCCTTGGTGTGACACCTCAAATGACACCTCAGGTCTGTGGGTGCCGAAGCCACCCCAACCAGACTCAGGTGCTAACAGGGACCAGCATTTGCTTTTGTCCAACCCACGGGAGGTTTCCATGTGCCAGCTGGGGACCAGAGCGGAGGGGATGCCAGGCTGGTGTGGATTCATGTTGATGGGGGAATAAGGAGGAGGTTTGGCCCATCCAGCACAGACCACATCCCTCAGCACCCCGCTGACAGCACCCGCCCCCCCAGGTCTGCACGCTGACCAAGGAAGACAATCGCGTGGTGGGCAAAATCCCCGAGGACGAGCAGCTGCACGTCCTGCCCCTCTACAAGATGTCCAGCACGGATGAGTTCGGCAGCGAGGAGAACCAAAACGCCAAGGTGGGCAGCGGGGCCATCCAGGTGCTCACCTCCTTCCCGCGCGAGGTCCGCAAGCTGCCTGAACCTGCCAAGTCCTGCCGGCAGAGGCAGCTGGAGGCCAGGAAAGCCGCCGCGGAGAAGAAGAAGCTGCAGAAGGAGAAGCTGATGACGCCGGAGAAGATCAAGCAGGAAGTGCTGGAGCTCCCCACGCTCCAGCCAAACGCAGGTAACGGGGGCACAGGTGAGGTCCTGCCACCCCCAAGCCGGCCAGGAAGTGTGTGAGGGGATTGGGGTATGGTTGGATGGGCTGGTGTGGTGAGATGGGCTGGTGGGGTTTTCGGGGTGCTCCCCTCTAATTTTGGATGCTCCTTCTTGAGCCACCGAGTCCCCAGTTGTCCTGCCTATCCGGATGGCATGGATGGCTTTTCCATGGCACCTGGGTTTTTCCCTGTGCCGTGGAGCGGTGGGAGCTCTCTCTGCAGCGCTCAGCATGGGTGTGAATCCCGGGCAACGCTGGGCAATGCCAACCCCAACCTCCGTGCTCCGTGGGATTCCCGAGCCTGGCCGAGTGTTTCAGGGTTGTCGCTCCCCTCTGGTGGCTCCCTCAGCCAGCAGGTCACAGGGGCTGTGTGTGCTGTCCCGCAGGTATGGCCTTGAAAAGCGGGATCCCCCCGCAGCCGCTGAAACCTTCCATCAAGGTGGAACCCCAGAGCCATTACAACACCTTCAAGTACAACGGCAATGCGGTGGTGGAGAGCTACTCGGTGCTGGGCAGCTGCCGGCCCTCCGACCCCTACAGCATGAACAGTGTTTACTCTTACCATTCCTACTATGCACAGCCCAATCTGCCTTCCGTGAACGGGTTTCACTCCAAGTTCGCGCTTCCCTCCTTCGGGTATTACGGCTTTTCCAGCAACCACGTGTTCCCCTCGCAGTTCCTCAACTACGGGGCGCCCGAGCGGGGCGGGAGCACGTGGGTGAGCAATGGCTACGAGAAGAAGCCCGACGTCTCGGTGCTGCAGGAGAACCTCAACCACACCTACGGGAACACCAACTTCCCTGAGCCTGTCCCGCATGGCATGCGGAGCAAGAACCACCACCAGCGCACCTACGAGCGGGCCAACCGCTACGCCAGCCAGCAGAAAGCGGCGGCTGCCGGGGCACACAGGACTAACCCAGGCTCAGAGGAGGCACCGTCCTTTGCACAGAACTGTTTCGGCAGCCGCCCCATCAAGCAGGAGCCTCCGGACCCTCCGCCCGCCATCGAGCCCCTTCCTGGTGCAGCGGCCGTGCCCGGCGCCGATCTGACGCTGCCGGCCATCCCGGCACACGGCGCGGCGCCGGAGCAGCGCTGGAGCCCCTTCAAGGCTCCACGGGGCACGTCTTCCCCCGAGAGGACTAACACGGGCGAGGGCTCGTGGGGTGCGCTGGTGCCAGGAGCAGGCGGGCGGGAGAAGCTGAGCGCCTTCGACGCCACCGCGCGCCTGCCGCCACCGGAGAAGCAGTGGCCCAACGTCCTGGCGGCAGGAGAGCCGGCAGCGGCGCCGGCGCGCGGGTCGGGATTGCTGCCGAAGCCGTGGAGCCCCTGCAAGCTCGGGGAGGCAGCGCTGGCCAGCACGGGCACCCCCAGCCTGCTGGGCTCACTGGGCTTCAGCTCGGCTCTGCCGGGGCTGCCCAGCTTCCCCGAGGAGCCGTGGGGCTCCGTGAAGGTGGAGGAGCGCAGGACGCCGGCGCCCAGCCCAGGGCTGCCGGAGAAGCCGTGGGAGGCAGCGTTGGGCGAGAAGGGGGCAGCCGGGCCCCGCCGGGACAAGCCATGGGACCCCTTTGGCTTGGAGGAGGATCTGTCAGAGAAGGCGGTGAAGGAGGAGGAGGAAGAGGAGGAGGAGGAGGAGGAAGAAGAGGAGGAGGAGTGGTCGGACAGCGAGCACAACTTCCTGGACGAAAACATCGGCGGCGTGGCCGTGGCGCCTGCCCACGGCTCCATCCTCATTGAGTGTGCCCGCCGCGAGCTCCATGCCACCACTCCGCTGAAGAAACCCAACCGCTGCCACCCCACCCGCATCTCCCTCGTCTTCTACCAACACAAGAACTTGAACCAGCCCAACCACGGCCTGGCGCTGTGGGAGGCCAAGATGAAGCAGCTGGCAGAGCGGGCGCGGGCCCGGCAGGAGGAGGCGGCGCGCCTGGGTCTGCCGCCGGACGCCAAAGCCTTCGCCAAGAAGCGCAAGTGGGGCGGTGCTTTGGCGACCGAGGCGCCCAGCAAGGAGAGGAGGGACTCGGTCCCCACGCGGCAGGCGGTGGCCATCCCCACCAACTCCGCCATCACTGTGTCCTCCTACGCCTACACCAAGGTGACAGGCCCCTACAGCCGCTGGATCTGAGACGGGCGCAACCGCCGTGGCCCCATCTTACCTCAACCCTCGGCAGTGCCGGTGCCCGGCGTTGCTTCGTGGTGCTTTCTCCTCGGGCGTGGGGAGAAGAAAAAAATAAAAAATAAAGAGACAAAAGCGAAGCAAAACACAACAGCCACACCACAAAAAAAAAAAAAAATATCCAACCCATAGGAAGCGAACCCGACGCGCGGAGCCGGCGCGGGCGTGCGCTGTCAAAGAGCTGCGCCCGGTGAGGAGTTGGCATACCAAGCAAAACTGGGTAAAAAAAACACCCAGGAGGAACGATGCTGTTTGATGATTTTAGGTAATCTCCTATTTATATCTCCATGTTTTTTAATCTAGCCTCAGATGAATTTCCTAGCGTCCTTTCACGAGGAGAGGTTTTTAATTCCACTTAAAGGAAAAGCCTATTTGTCGGATTTGATTTGATTTGATTTTTTACTCCGATGACGACGACGAAGCCGATCTTCGAAAGAGAAGCCAATGTGGAAAAAACCCACCCTGAACACAAATCCAAACCAACCTGAACACCAAACCAGCTTAAAGGCAAGAGGTGACTCCCTGCAGCTCTGAGGCTATCGGGATCATGTGCTTTACCGTCAGCCAGACACGCTGAACAGCCGATTATTTTTATTCCTAAAGGACCTAAAAATACTTATTTTGCAGCTCGAGGAGCCCTTTCTTACAGCAATGGGAGCCCACGAACAAGTGGGACATCCCGGGGTGGCACGTCTTCACTCGGCTCCTCCTCCAGCGGGATCGGCTCCACCGGGATGGAGCAGGCCAGCGTCTTTCCTGGCACCGGAGACCTCAGGACACGTCCGGGCTGGGAATGCTGCTGCTGGGGGGGCCGTGCTCGGGCTCGGACTTGTGGCTCCTTTGCCGACAGCCCCAGGGCGAGCAGTGGCGGTGGCGGCAGCATCTCCAAAGGAGCTGACAAGACAAAGAAACATAAACAAAAAAATACAAAAAAAACAGGAAAAAAAAAACCACAAACCAACCCCAAACTGTGAATAGCGAGTGTTGCTCTCTGTACATCACTGTTGCTAAAGTCTGGTGCTTTCCGTCTCCGGGGGACTTTCTCTGCGCGATCGGCTCCGGGAAGAGCGAATCCCGAAGACTTGGCTGGGCCAAACCCCGCCGGGTCCGCCTTCCCTGCCGGTGCCGGCAAGCCGGTGTAGCGGCCCCAGCGCCGCCGGGGCTCGGTGCTCTTTACTCTCCCCGGGTGCCATCCCTCCTTCCTACGGATCACCGTTCTTCCCGCAAAAAAACCACCCAAACCCAACTGAACAACCCAGCAACGATGACGACGACAGCCGCGTGGTGCTTTTGGAACAATCTCCATCGAGACTTCCCGCCCGACGCTGGAGCCGTGCCCGGATGGAGGGGTGGGAGAGCTCCCCAGGAGCGCGGCACAGCCCGATCTGGGTTCCCGGCGTCCCCAGGGGGGTTGTTGCTTTTGCACTTTGAGGTGCCTTTTGGAAGAGCCAGCGAGGCAGCGCCGACGCCGTCACCGTGCGGGAACCACCTCGTGTTTACTGTCACCCTCCTTCCCCGCGCACGGGACACGGATCAGCAGGATCTTGGTAAAAAACAGCCTGAACATTTACGTGGTCTGATTTTAAACCTGTACATAGGGAAAGAATTTTTTTAAAAGCACTTTCACCTAGATTTAAAAAGCGAAACTTAAAAAAAAAAAGCAAACAACTCCCCTTCTTCCCTCTCCCCTCCCCTCCCACCCCCCCCAACTTGAAGCAGTATGTTTTAAACAAGATTATCGTGGGAGAACTGTAAATACTGGCAGAATATTTAACATGCTTTGTCCGTCCTTCATCATTAATGAATTTTTTTTTTTTTGTTCGTTTTTTTAACCGTAATCTGTAAAGTCGCGTATATTTGACAAGGAAACTCAACGAGCTATTCCCGCTTTTCTTATAAATACCCAATAGCATATCAGGATTGTAAGAGTCGACGGCAAGTCGGATTTTAGTGATGCCCGTTCCAGCGGGGGACCCGCCGTGTGGCTGGGAGGGGGGAGAAGGGACCCGGCTGATGTGGGGCCGGATTCGGGTGCCGGCCCCGTCGGCATCGCCGGGGGTTTGTCTCTGGCTGGCGCGGCGAGGGTGCCTTGGAGCTTCGCCTGGAGCGTGGGGGGGAGAAGGAGCGTTCGGAGAAGGCGATGGTCCGTGTAACCTGTCTAAGTCCTGCTTCCTTGGAGGTGTTTTTGGTGCAGGGAGGGGGGTCGGTCCGTTGGCTCTGGGGGGAGCGGGAGCTGCCGGCGCCGCGGGTCGGGGGGAGCGAGAACTGCTGCAGTCTCACGTTTTTACACTACATAACGTCTAACCTACCTCAACTCTCAGTCATTACAAATTCGCACGCTTCAGACTTCTACACAAAACTCAAAATCTATGCACAGCTCTTTTACCCCTTGCTGCTGAGAGGCTGTTTCCAAGCAAAATCTTTCCCTTTACCCGCCCTGGCGGCCGCGCTCATCCCGCCCGCACCGAAGCCACGGGGGTCACGGAGTTCGAGGGGGGAAGGAACGTTTTTAATCGCTTCGGAATGGGATGTGGGGACCTCGTTTTGCAGCAGGTCGTGGCCACAATGGTGCTAGAACAAAACCCATGGTGGAAACCCCGGGGAGAGCTCGGCACGGGGAGCCCCAACCGGCTTCTTCCATCCCGCCGCAGGCGGGAAACGAGGGGTGCATTTCGGGTCCCCCCGTCCCGATGCTCTCGGGATGAGGCGTGGGAAGGAGAAGGAAACCAGAATCCCTGAGGTGCCTCAATTGCTGATTTTTCCTTTTAATACTGGAGTACGCTTTGTGGGCTCTATAAGGCATATTTTTATTAAATGAAATCTTGTAATACAAACGGTGCTATGGTGTTTTAACAAACTGTATCACGCTTCTGCCTGATTCCATCTCGCTGAGGTGCTACTAATGTATATATGAAACTAAGGAACCAAGATATAAAAAAATAAAGCAATGTCGTTGAGAAGGAAGTTTACCTTTCCGGAGCGACAGCTCAAGGTGTGCCGGGAGCCGGTTGGGTTGATGCAAACCGGAGTTTTGCCATGTCCGAGGTGTCCCGGGGTCGTGGTGGAGCCGTTCCCTGCGGAGCCGGTGTGGTGGTGGGATGAGGTGCTCAGATGTATGTGGGTGTAGGGTTTGGTCAGAGGTGTGATCTCGGTGCTCAGCGGTGCTCGGTCATGGTGTGTGGACACGGTGCTGAGACGTGGTGTTTGGCCACGCACCGTGGGTGTAGTGCTCGGGCATGGTGGTCAGTCACACACTGGGGACATGGTGCTGGGACACAGTGTTTGGTCACACACTGTGGATGCGGTGGTCAGTCGTGGTGTGCGGACATGGTGCTCAGACGTGGTGTTTGGCCACACGCCGTGGACGTGGTGCCTCGGGCACGGTGGTCAGTCACGCATCGGGGGCGTGGCACGTGGACATGGTGCTTGGACATGGTGATCAGTCACACATCGGGGACGTGGTGCTCAGACGTGGTGCGTGGACACAGTGCTTGGATGTGGTGCTTGGCCGCGGTGCTCGGACATGGCACGTGGACATGGTGCTCAAGCACAGTCACACATCGTGGATGTGGTGCTCGGGTGTGGTGCTTGGACATGGTGCTTGGGCACGGTGCTCGGCCGGGCATCACGGACACGGCATGTGAACGTGGTGCTCTGACTTGGTGTTCAGACATGGTGCGTGGACATGGTCACACATCGTGGACGTGGTGCTTGGGTGTGGTGCTAGGACAGGGTGTGTGGACGTGGTGCTCGGACACGGTGCTTGGACACAATGCTCAGCCACACATCATGGACGTGGTGCTCGGGCGTGGTGCTCTGCTGTGGTGCTTGGACGTGGTGTGTGGACACGGTGCTCGGGGCACGGTGCTCGTCCACACCCCATGGACACAGTGTGCAGGCACCATGCTCGGACAGGCTGTGTGGATGTGCAGGGACGTGGTGTGTGGACATGGTGCTCGACCACGGTGTTCAGACGCAGTGCACGGACACGGTGCTCTGCTGTGGTGCTTGGACTTGGTGCATGGACATGGTGCTCGGGCACGGTGCTTGCCCACGTCATGGCCATGGTGCATGGATATGGTGCTCGGGCACGGTGCTCAGCCATGCGCTGTGGACATGATGCGTGGCTGCGGTGCTCAGACGTGGTGCGTGGACATGGTGCTCTGCTTGGTGCTTGGACTTGGTGCATGGACTCGGTGCCTGACCATGGTGTGTGAACCTGGTGCTCGACCGCGGTGCTCTGACACCATGTGTGGACACGGTGCTCAGTCAGAGGGTGTGGACACGGTGCTTGACCGCGGTGCTCGGACATGGTGCATGG